ATAATAAATTAAAAAAAAACGACGAGGTGACCGCTGGCCACCCCGTCATTTTCTTTTTAAAAATTTAAAATTACACTTTTGGTCCTGTGACTATTGGGGGTGTGTTAATTTGGGTACGTGACTTTTAAAACTAACAATTTAGTCCTTTAACTATCAATTTTTAGCAGATTTGGTCCTCCCGGCCAAATTGCCGGCCAAATGTTGCCGGAAAAAGACAAATATTTTTAAATGGTTTATTCATAGGGGTAAAATGGTCAATTTAAGTTTTTAATGAAAAAGGGGAAAGTTATGAAGCCAACCGCCCCTTCTTCTGCAAATCCCTCTCGATATCGTCGACGTCATCTCCTTCTCCGATGACTGGTCATATACCAGAATAAGGAATAAAACCAAGAAGGCTGAATAATTGGCAAAGAAAGCACAATATTTTTTTTTTTGACAAAGCATGATTTTTGTTTTACTTTGTATCACAGAGTTGATTTAATATTTAACTTTGTATGGAAAGTTCTTGCCGTGGAAAAGTGGGATTTGTGATAGTTAAACTTGTTTGTTTGGTTCTTTTCTAGTATTTTGTTTGAACCTATTGTGGTTGGAGGATTGCTCTAGGTTTGATTTTGTGACGAGAGAAACCAAGATAAATTACTCTGGCCTGGTTTCATGAACAGGGGAAGCAAGTTCTGTACGTGGCATTCGGGTCTCAAACAGAGATATCGTCCAAGCAATTGGAGGAGATTAAAGTTGGGTTAGAGGAATCTGAAGTGAATTTCTTGTGGGTGGTTAGAACGAACGAATCGGAGCTCCGCGGCGATGGGTTCGAAGATAGAGTGAAGAACCGAACGCAGTATTGGAAAGCACAGGTGATGTTCTTGGTGAGAATAGGCCGCGTCTTCAACAATTCTAAGTGCGGCGGCGGCGGAGGAGCTACTCCGGGAGGAGAACACCAGAGAAATTATGCTGGGAACCGACATCTCAACCTCCTTGGTCTTTTTGAAAATGGATTGAGGGAACCGAGAATACACTTTAGCTTGCTGGTGGCAATGATGGGTCCGGGGCTTCGACGCTCCGACTGAATCTACGACGGAGGATTCCTTCCATAAATGGTACAGAGATCGCCGGGCCTTGAAGCCATTTCTGAGGCTCATTTTTCTCAAAAGCGGAAACTTTACCAACCCCTTCTTGATTCTGGGTTTGGGTTCGAGAGAGGGAGAGGCGTTCTTTGAATTTTGGTTGTGTAATGCTGAAAACTGGGAATGGGTTGCTAAGAAACGAAAAGAACAGGGGAGGACCAAATATGTTAAAAAGACGGAATTACCCCCACTATTATATGATTTATTAATTTGAACATCTTTCCGGCCGAATTCCACCGGCAATTTGGCCGGGAGGACCAAATCTGCTAAAAAAATGATAGTTAAAGGACTAAATTGTTAGTTTTAAAAGTCACGTACCCAAATTAACACACCCCCAATAGTCACAGGACTAAAAGTGTAATTTGCTCTTAAAATTATTAAAAATGCCAACTCAGCTACCACGTAAGTAGGTAACCTGCTAAAATTGATGGTAACCTGCTATCCGGTGAAATTGCATACATTTGGAGTGTTCAATGGCTTAATTACACTTTTTTTCGTTCAGTGACCTAATTGCATTTTCAGGTTACGTTTTGTGGCCAATTTGAACCTTACTCCATCTAAAATTTATCATTATATATTATTCAAAAAGAACTCCACTTGTTACTAGATTTTTCTTAACGACAACCGATCGAGTTCAAACTAGTTGAACTAGAGGTCAATGGTTAGGTAAAGAGTGAAAGATGAATGCAACATTGTTGCACTGCTATATTTTAACGGACGACCAAATTAAAGACAAATGTGCATGGGGTTGAGAGTGAGTGATAGGGGCCAGGATAGCATTTGAGAATTTTGTTGCAAATAACCTAATAAAAGTAGTATAGGCACAATAAGCAACAGTTTTCGACAAGGAAACAAAGTTGCAGTAGAGGAGACTTGTAAAATGTGACATAATTTGATTTACATCAACAAAAAATAATCCACATATAGAGTCTAGGGAATATAGTTTGGAAATGAGTCTCAATTTATTGCCAAAAAGCTCTCCCCTTAATGTACAACAACTAATCAGAGTCCCACACATATTAGGCAATTTCCTTGAGGGTCGGTCGGTCTACTTGATAAAAACAAGCAATTATAAGAATACCTAAGCATTCTTGCTTTTCACTTCACTTCAAACTCAGCGCTCTTTTGGCAAGAGGGATTTCTTTCGACGGAATCAGAAGTCAAACTCTCCTGTTGCCTGAAAAGGAAATGTGCATTGTATATGTAGGCCATTCCAAGATGCATAATGGAATTATTGATTTGAAAAAGGATCGTGAATCTTGAATGCAAGAAGTTTCTAGTTGATTTTTACTTAAATTAATTTTAAATTAATTACTTATTTGGATTATAGATTGTATCAGATCCAGTTAAAGATCAGATAACAAGATAAAAATAAGTAAAGGAAATGAAAAAAGGATAAATTAATTGGTAACGCAGTTCAGAACAAAATCTCCAACGTCTGTATGATCACCAAAAATTACAAGGGTTGGTAAGATATTCATACACACTATGACCTTAGCCAATTACACCAACTCAATCTTCACCAGGCCATATACTTGAGTGAATACGTGCAAGCCAAATAATCACTTCAAGCTTCAACAATTCGTCATCAAACCTCCTCCAATATAATTCTTCCACTCACACCTTCAATATGCAGTACGTATGGCTTTTATATGTATGGTAGGAAGAATATAAGGAAACAATTAATGTTTGGAGCGCAGCACTTGTTTTCCCACTTTCGAAATTTCCCTTCGAATAGATATATGGAGTAAGCAAATCAAAGCAATAATTAAAATGAGTTAATACCCAAAATCGTCCTCGACTATAGTAGTTTTTCTCAATTTCGTCCTAAACGACTTTGGTGACCTAATATCGTCCCAGACTTTTGTGTTTCGCTTAATTTAGTCCTCCATTTGTTATTCTGTCAAATTAGTGTTAAATAAAGGGACAATTCAGTAATGTCAATATTGATCTCTCTTTACTTTCAACTTGTGAAGTGCGAAATTCCTCTTTCTTGTACGAATTACACCCAGAATTACTCCCGGACCTGCAAATTAAATTTTATATTCGCAGTTTTAGGAGTAATTCGTTAAAAAAAAAAAAAAAGGGATTTCGCAGTTCACATGTCTATGAGTAAAGAGATGCCAATATTAAAATTACTGAATTATCTATTTATTTAACACCAAATGGACAGAATAACAAATGAGGGACTAAATTGAGCAAAAACACAAAAGTCTGGGACTAAATTGAGCAAAACACAAAAGTCTGGGACGATATTAGGTCACCAAAGTCGTTTAGGACGAAATTGAGAAAAACCACTATAGTCGAGGACGGTTTTGGGTATTAACTCTAATTAAAATTATGGCTGCAATAGGCGTTAGTCGGGCGGTAGAGTAGCGCCTAACCTCTAGACGGTCTAAGCGAGCGTTTATGCGGCTAACTAAAAAAAATAGTACACGTGTAAGTGTATATATGTCATATGACTAGTGATCAAATGAGTCCATCTTTTTATATGAGCCCGTGTGGACAGATCTGGGCCATTGAATGCTTGATATCAATGGCTTTTTAGATCTGGCCAACTGTACAACATGAACTATGCAAGTGAAGTGCACAATTGCACAGTTGTCGTGCACAATTGCAAAGTTGCACAGTTGGTCAGATCTAAGCCATTGATATCAAATATTCAATGACCCAGATCTGCCCACATGGACTCGTATAATAGGATGGACTCACGAAAATAGGATGAACTCACGAGAACACTAGAATATATATATATATATATATATATATATATATATATATATATATATATATATATATAATTAGGTTCTGGTGCAGTTAGGTTGCTCAGGTGCGGTTGTGCGGTTTAATCTGGGCAATTCATCTCGCTTAAATCAACGTTCAGGATTACCAAAATTTAAAAAAAAAAATGCGGTGGCAATTTTGTAATTTTTGTATTTAGGTCAACATTAATGTGAGCGGTTCTGTGATTAATGTGTGTGAGTTTTGTATATAATATGCGTGAGTCTTGTGCATAAGGTGCGTGAGTTTGTGCTTAATGTGCGTGGGGTTGTGCTTAATGTGAGTTGTTAGTAAAACTTAAAGTGTGAGCTTTTGTGTTTAAGGTGCGTGAAATTTGTTCTTAATGTGAGTGGAGTTTGTGCTTAATTTGCGTAAGGTTTGTGCTTAATGTGTGTGAGGGTAGTGATTAATATCAGTAATTGTTGAAACTTAAAGTCTGTGAGTTAATACTTAAAGTGCGTGGGTTTTGTGCTTACTGTGCGTGAGATTGTGGTTAATGTGTGTTGGATGAAGAAGCATGCAACACGTCTAAATGACCAAAAGCGTATACCAAAAGCGCGTCTTCTTGTCCAACAAAACAATGTACGTGGGTTTTGTACTTAATGTGCGTGAGTTGGTATTTAATGTGCGCGAGTTTTGTACTTAATGTGCGTGAGTTTGTACTTAAGATCTAACACTTAAGGTGCGTGGCTTTCTTCCAAACACACGTTTTTTTTTTTTTTCATTGATTTGAGCCGTTGATTTAGATTTGATCAACGGCTCAGATCTAACCGCACGAGAAGCTATATCCGCACATGAACCCTTCCATATATATATATATATATATATATATATATATATATATATATATATATATATATATATATATATATATATAGTGGAGGCTTCAAGTAAGAACCATATGTTAGATAGGAACCTATGAACTAATCCAAGTCATTCAAATTTGCTCAATCAATGGTCTAGATAATTAATCATTTTATGTGGATCTTGAACATAATTAATTAGAAAGGATATTTGTGTAATTTTGTCCAAATACCAATTACAAACTAATATTATATTTAGATTCTTTCTAAGATATTATGATGACAAGATAAGGAAGGAGTCTAATTTATATGTGATTCTTTTTTCAGTTGATATGCGGTTCATGTGATTTCGGAGACAGACGAGAAATTCCGATCACCGGCGGATGCTACTACAGAAGGATGACAACTAGCGTCAATGAAGGTAAGAATAAGATTTGTCCGCATACACATGTGCACCCTTCAATTTGGTTTAAATTGAATACATGTGTTATCCTTTGTGGAAGCATACAATTGGATGATATCTGCTACTCTCGTACTTTTGTGTGTGCACAAACAATTGAAAGAAGATGGGTGATATTTTGTGAGTCTTCTCAAAGTTTCTAGCGAATGATGATCTACCATGGTTTAAACATTGTCTAATACATTCATCCTATGTTCTGGACAGTTATGCACACTGTCAAATACTCCGTACATTATGACACACAATGCATTGCCAAAGTGCACAACTCCGCCTGTCGCATCACCTGGCCGGGTTGTGTTCACACACCACTTTAAGTAAGTGCACACACAGAAAACACAACTCGAAGAATGGATGTGTCCTTGCCATGGTTTGAACATTGACAAACTGTAATGTTATGTTCCTGACATTTATGCACACTGTCCAATACGTTATCGCACACATAGTTTTTTCCAAAATGCCAAATCATTGTCTTTAGCATCCATTTGGTTATCGTGAACTCATGGGTGTAGTTTTTTTTGGGGGTAGTCCTGATTGCTATAATCTGCAAGAGCACAGAGTCAATTACAGTATAAATTCCTGGAGTATTCCAGGGTCGATCCCACGAAGAACACTACCAACTGTTATCTTGAATAATCAATTGGTTGATAAGGAGAAACACAAATAAATAGAATGAATGTAATTTAAAAGAATATTTATGAATTTAAAGCAAAGGAAAACTTTCAATTGAGAGAAGACTAGGGATTTGAGTTTACCTATTAGATAATTAATTAACTCTCATAAGTATTAATTCTTATGACTATAGTGATGATTGTTTCAAATATATCCTAATACTCCGTCGAGCTACTAGGTTGTATTCAATTAACTGTGATCATCTGTCGATATCTCATCAACATTAATTAAACCCATTAAGCAACAATCAAATATCACCACAAATACCTAAAGCTATGTCTAATTTAGGTTAATTGTGTTTATCTTACGAGTTCTAGGTTCATAATTCACCTGTCAGTTCTTCTTATGAACCCTAATATTAGAATTATGCAATGGCCAGTCACACAATCAACAATTAAAATACATAAAATAAATATAATCAAGTTCAATCATTAAACTGAAATTGGAAGAATTAACACATGAAAAATAATCAATTAATCTAATCAAGGCTAATCCAAATCCCTAATTAAAGTTCTAGCCAAGAATCATAATTAAATGTATAGAAAGTTCAAGAAATAATATTCTGAAAATTTAAACAAAAAGTAAGAAAGAAAAATAGTTCAAGCCTAAGAGATGATAGCCGCGATTGAAGCTCGAGAATTCCTTGAAGAAGTCGCTGTCGCGCACTCTTCTCTCCGCCGTTCCCTCTGTTAGGCTTACTCGTTGTGTCCCCTTTTTTTCTTAATCTGCCGAACCCAATGCTTAAAAAACAAAAGCATTCAAAATCTTCTAATTTCTTTCTTATCTGCTGCGCAAAAAACCCTCAAAAGAAAACAATAAAATAATATAAAATAAAGTTAAAGCAAAGACAACTATTATTATAACTTAATAACGTAACTTAATTAAACTTAATTATTAAAACACTTATAAAAATTTAAGATATAAAACTACCAAATAAATAAAATAAAATTCCTATTTAAATTAATAAAAATGCAACATTAGTCCAATATTTATTAAAACCAATCTAAACTAATAAAAATGCAACATTAGTCCAATATTTATTAAAACCAATCTAAACTAGTAACATATAGATAATATAATATTTAGTATAAAATCGACCCTAAAACTTAATTTATTTATGCACATCACTTACTAAAATTACTCTAAATAATGTCTAGAAATTAAGCTTATCAAACTTCCCCACACTCAAGGTTTTGCTTGTCCCCAAGCAAACTTATTTAATGAAATCAAACTACCAACCATAACCATGTCAACTAGGCATTCAATTCCAGGAGATGGTAAACACATAATACTTCATGAGAGTTCAAAGTTATATGCACACAAGACAATAGAGAATAGTAGTCCTAACGATTGTTCACTCAATCTCTCATAAATATATGTATAAGAAAGGTACACATTATCCTCTATTGAGAGTGCACTTGCCATAGACTTGCTTGTCCACCAAAACTCCACTACCAAAAGTATATGAACAACACGAGTCAAAAGGTCTTTATTTCTGGGTTGTAACGGAGCTAAGGGTATGTGGTTTAAGAAAGAAAGGGTATAAGGAATAACAAATACAGTCCAAGGAATCAGTAGAGTCATAATTTCACCATATCAAGAGAAAGAACTTGTATTCTACCAATACAATGAACTCTACCAAAACAAGCAATCATTTCTTCATTCTCCCTCATCCTTTCCATTGATAACTTCTCAAAACAACTTTAAAAATCTCATTTTCATCTTTTTTTTTTTGTTTTTTTTTTCATTCTTTTTTCCTTTTTTTCTGGTAAAACCGAATAAATAGCTCCTCATTTCCACATCACCCTCAATGGTACTCTTCCCATAATCATCAAATTTCTATCATGCCCCATTGCTCATAAATCATTTGAAGAATAAAATGAGCACAAAAGTTTGAGCTATCAAGATTTTCAACCCACAAATTAGAACATATCATTTTCAACCCACAAATTAGAACATAAGTGCACACACATGTGTTGAGCGTCTTGTTAAACACACACTAATTCTGCTTATTATGGCACACACTCCGTTGCCCAAGTGCACAACTGCCCATGTCACATCCACCTGGGTTGTGTGCACACACCACTTAAGGCAAGTGCGCACATAGGAAACACGACTACGGAGAATTGATGTGTCCTTCTAATGAATGTGCCACCCAGGCCACAAAAACTCTGAGCATGTGCACATTGGTTGAAATGTGTGTGCCACATAGCTTAATCATTTGCCTAGTAAATAATGGGTACAACGTTCCACATGTCATGACGGCTCATCAGGGAGTTCATCCGGGTGTGTGAAGAAAGCGGATCGAAGTTTACATCATCACCCAACATTGAAGTTTACCCCTTGCCATTTCAAAGAACAAAGGGCCAAGAAATCGCATGAAATCATCGAAGGAGATTGCATCAAAACAAGCTGCTAAGGAACTGTCTGCTTCGGCAAAAGCCTACCTGAATATTAGTTTTTCTTATTCTTACAACATTATACGTTAGAATGTTGCTACCCTATAGTTATTTACACATTCTTTATTATTCTATTTGTGTATGAATAAACGTGGAACATGGTGAGTAAACAGGCTTATATATGTATTTGGGTTAAATTGTTAGAAACATAATGTTGCAGATTGTGCATTTTTAAAAGACCTAGAACAGGTCAGTGTGCACCTGGGTTAAATTGAGTGTGCCATAATGTGTAGAAGTAGTGTGCCCAATAACAAGCGTGCACTTAGGCTGATTTGTGTGTGAAATAATGTGTTTAATTTCCGTGTCCATAAACAAGAGTGCACTTAGGTTTATCTATTCGTGAAAACACACTGAGAGTTCAAATTCCCAAAAACCCTATTGATGATCTACCTTCTGATATGCACTTTCACAGAAATTATTGTGCTATAACGTTCAAATTGAGAGCAGCTGGGAAGGCGAATCCAAAGTCAGTGTGCACCTGAGGTATGTTGTGTGTGCCAAAGTGTGCAGTGGTACTAACATATCGAACCCTTGGAGACCAGGATGAGGTGCTGCACTACGGTGTGCACTTGGGTTTCACGTGTGTGCCATAATGTCCATAATTAGTATCTGCACGAAACGGTGTACAAGAAGTTAGTGTGCACATGGGCTACACCACGTGTGCCATATTATGAACTAATATTGTAATACACTTTGGTGTGCACTAGCCATAACATTTTTGTGCTATTACGTAGAGAATGAGCGTTTGCCCTATTGCAATGTGTGTGCACTTAGGTAAACTGCATGCGCCATAACGAAAGAGCGTTTCGATGAAAAGATGGAGAACGAGCAGTTATGCGGTTGGGTTGTACTATGTGTGTCATATTGCATTCTATGTGCCATATGGTACAATAGTATCCATTTTGGTAAGCACTTGGATTACAAAGTGTGTGCCATTTCGTGCACTAACACTACAAATATTAACTCTCGAAAACATTATTCATTGTAAGGAGTATTGTGTAAACACGGGTTAAACAATTTGTGCTAAATCATATAGAATGTGTGCACGGATGAAAAGAGGAAAAGAAGACGATATGCACTTATATTGAATTGAGTGTGCCATATTGCACTGTGTGAGACACAATGTGCTAGAAGATTGTTATATTCGAACATCAGAACCCAGGATGTCATCCTGGGTTGTGGACCGGAATCGTATTAACGTTGTCTGCATCATTAGAGGAAAACATCATTTATTAAGGGGAAATTGGTCTAAAAACAGTATAAATTAACCGATTAAGGATTATGTATCAAATATCATAATCAAAACACATGAATGTACCCAAGAAAACTAAAATAAACCATTGATGAACTAGCTACAAATGAGCACATGAAGCTAACTTTGTTCGAGGCGTCACGGTATTCAACTGCGCTACAAATGTTCTTGGAATAGTGAACGTTAATCCCAGCCGTCAAAATCTGACACATATCAAGACCCCTAGTATCACCCTTTTGCCGACCACAGTCCCATGCATTCACTTATTGGCCCAAAAACGTCTCTATATGCCGCATTACAAAGACACTGCAATTCACTTTGTTACGTGCACCACGCCAACGCATCTGCATCCTTCTCAGGACAAACCTCTGTACAACAGCCCCATATCAATCATCAACCACATCATCAAGGAACATAGAAAACAAATCGTTTTGTCAAAGTGCAAAGAGCGATAGAAACATTATG